TTTCTTTCTTTCTTTCTTTCTTTCTTTCTTTCTTTCTTTCTTTCTTTCTTTCTTTCTCTCTCTCTCTCTCTCCCTCTCTCTCCCTCTCTCTCTCTCTCTCTCTCTCTCTCCTTCATCCATCCATCCAATTTATATGACCACCCAACTCATGAAAAGTGGTTTACTAAGTTAACCAGACAAAACGATGCAAATTTGTTCAGAAATCTCCCTCCGGCAAGAGTATTAGTAAAAAATAAAAAGACGGGGAAAATGGAGAATGTTTACTTTGTAAAATGGTGCACAGGTAGACCTCAACTTATAACCCCTTTGTTCAGTGATCATTCAAAGCTACAGTGGCACTGAAACAAGTGACGTAACACTATTCCTGATACTTATGATTGTCCCAGCATCCTCATGGTCATATGTTCAAAATCCGAGACTTGGCAACCGGCATGTGGTCAATATTTGTGACCTTCCCAGAAAGTTTCCAACAAACAAAGTCAATTGGAGAGATCGGATTTGCTGAACAAGTATGATCCTTACTTAACTGCAGGGTTTTCCTTAACAACTATGGCATAAAAGCTGATAAAATTGGGTGCAACCCACTAAGCCTTGCTTGGAAATGAAAACTCTGGTCCCAATTGCTGGTGTAAGTCAAGTACTATTTGTATAACGGACATTTTTCAGACTTGGTGTTTGAATCCAATCAGGTAAGAGAAGATCAGATTGCAAGGTGCCTGGAGTGGCTCCATCTGAGGGCAATTAATGTGTTAAATAAACCTAGTGCAAAATTGGACTAATTGTTGGATATTCCTACGAAGGAATGTTTGAAGCCTTTTTTCCTCCTATCTAAGATCCTACCACTAGAGGATGCTAAAGCAAAAGAAGAGAAAGAAAAAGAGAAAGATTGAAAAGAAGAAGAATATGGGTGGGAACCACAACCCCAAAGTATACTTTCCCAGGCTCCATTTTGAAATTCCAGGTAAAATGGACAAGCACCCAGCCTGAAGTTCTGGAAATCCCCTGACAATCCATTCATGACTGATAATACTGGGGGGGGAAAAGGACTAGGGGCTCGACTTGAGAAGGCAACTTTCTTAAAAGACTGTGACAAATTACTGACTAACGAAGGAGAAAATACACAGTATCAACAGTAGAGACCTTCAAATTTCTAGGTTCTATCATATCACAAGACCTAAAATGGACACCTAACATCAAAAATATCACCAAAAAAGCACAACGAAGAATGTTCTTTCTGCGCCAACTCAGAAAGCTCCAACTGCCCAAGGAGCTGCTGATCCAGTTCTACAGAGGAATTATTGAGTCTGTCATCTGCACCTCTATAACTGTCTGGTTTGGTTCTGCAACCCAACAGGACAGACACAGACTTCAGGGAGTAATTAGGACTGCAGAAAAAACAATTACTACTAACCTGCCTTCAATTGAGGACCTGTATACTGCAGGAATCAA